AAGGTGATGCTGTGTGGAATAAAAAGGCATCCTGTCTTCTGGTTCCTGTCCTGACTTTCCTCTCAGAGACCTTGACATGGAAGCATAGTCAATACACTCCTCTCCATGTTGCTTTTGGTGAGAGTGTTTCTATCATGGCACCTGAGCGGAAACAGTATACAGGCTGGAATGCTAAATGAGTCCACCTAATAACAATTTATATACCTAACCAACAATTTCAAGATATATAAAGTAAAGCTGACAGAACTAAATGGTAATTCCCAATACTCTCTGGCGACCTTAATAGACATATCAAATAATAAGACTCCCCCCACCGCTCAAAAACCCATCAGACTAACAATAGTGAAGCTGTAGACATTTGAACACCACAGCCATGTTACTATAACTGACATGCAGAAAAAGCCCTAATAAAAGCATAATAGACTGATTGAGTGACCTGGGAATTCACTAAAATAGACAATATCTGGACTTATACAATGTGAGGCTGAAGAGATGGCTCACAGTTAAGAGCACTGGCTGTTCTCCCAGAGGACCTGGGTTCAAGTCCCAGCACCCACACGGCATTCACAGTTATCTATAACTCTAATTCCAGGGCATCTGGTACCCTCACACAGGCGTGTATGCAGATAAAACACCGATGCACATGAAATAAAAATAAATAAATCTTAAAAACAAAACTTATCAAATCAATCCTTATAAAACAAATCAATCCTTATAAAACTCCAATAAACTGAAACACCTATATCAAGGCACATTGTGACAAAGGGTGGCAGCATTAACTACCATTGAGAAGTATGAAAATGAGGACATGCTATAGAACTTAAAGACTCTGAAAATAGAAACAGGGGTGGGCGGTGGTTGATATTTTGTTAGTAAAACTTGAACGAAAAGGAGGGATTTCTGGAGAAGTGCTATCAATACTAACATGAGCAACTGGAAAGCTGCACGGACCATTATCTTCAGGAAGTTGGGTCTCAGATGAAAATCTGACCATAGCAACATGCAGAGAGTGAGATTTTGGAGCACTCTGTCCTGAATGAGATGTCCTCATCAAGCCCCTTCTCCCCAGTCAGGGTGGGGCCCGCAGAGGTTCATGCCACACAGAGTCAGATAAGGGGAAGAAGCAGATGCAAAGTCCCATCTCTAACTAAAGAGTTATTTACACTTTATCCTGGCTGGGAAAGGGAAAATGGGTTTTCTCCAGTGGAGTATCTCTGGTTTATTAGCCATACTCCAGGGTAGGCTCCATGCCCAGGAGCAGTTGGCCAATACAAAACAAATTTTGTGGGTTTTTTGTGTGTGCTTTGGCATTTTTTGACTTATTAGCTTTTTGTTTGTTTTGATTTTTTTGAGAGGTGTGTGTGTGTGAGAGAGAGAGGGGACAGAGAGAGAGAGAGAGAGAGAATGGAAGTTGGGTGGGTAGGAAGGTGGAGAGGGTCTGGGAGGAGTTGGGGGAGGGGAAACATCACTAAAATGCATTATATGATTTTTTTTTCATTAGACAGAAAGAAAGTCTATCCACAAAGAAAACCCCAAATGTCAGCCTAGAGGACTCCTGAGAGTCTGAGGAACAGAACTGAGAATAGCTTTCAGCATATTTCTGGAACCTGAATAATGGAGATGCCATATAATAGATGCTAGACAATATAGACAATAAAGTAAACAAGACAATCTACTTCATGAGGCAAAACAGAAACAAACGTCCTAAAGATAAAGATTTGTAGTGAACAAATTAAGTGTTAGCCCAACGGCGCAAGCTTGAATTCAAATTACAAAAAAAAAAAAAGAAAGAAAAAGAAAATGAAAGGAAGGAAGGAAGGAGGGAAGGAAGGAAGGAAAAGACAAGGGCCAAAACAAGAAATCCCAAGTTAAAAAACCTCAACCCATCAGTCAAAAATCCTAACAGCATATAGAAAAATTGTATGTCTGGATTCTTAAAGGGAAAGTGCCTGATCAAACTGAGAAGTTACTTGCTGAAAATGTTAAAAAAAACAAACAAACAAGCAAACAAAAACCCGCCAGGGAGCTAAGGATAGACCTCAGATGATAGAATGCTTGCCTATCACACACAAAGTCCTTGGTTTGATGACCAGCACTACATAAGCCAGGCGTGGTGGGACATACCTGTAATCATAGCACTTGAGAAGTATTTGCAATCTTTCTGACATGGGGTTTATGTGTGCAATGTTTTTTAAAGTTCTGTAAATCAGTAATGGAAGATGTGTATTACAGTTCTTTTTTTTTAAAACTTTTTTCTTTTATTTATTTATTATGTATACAATATTCTGTCTGTGTGTTTGCCTGCAGGCCAGAAGAGGGCACCAGACCTCATTACAGATGGTTGTGAGCCACCATGTGGTTGCTGGGAATTGAACTCAGGACCTTGGGAAGAGCAGGCAATGCTCTTAACGGCTGAGCCATCTCTCCAGCCCTGTATTACAGTTCTTAAGATGGGCAAAAAGGGGCTGAGAGACAGCTCAATGGGTAACGTGCTCACTGTGCAAGTGTAAGGACCTGAGTTCAGATCTCTGGTACTCATGTAAAAGCCACACACGATGGTGCATATCTGCACCACGGGCCCTGGGGGTGAATACAGGGCTCACTAGCCAGCCACTCTGGCTGAAATGGTGAGCTCCAGGTTCAATCAGAGACAGTATTCCAGAAAACGTGGAGGAGGGCAATGGAGAAAGACACTTGAGGCTGACTTCTGTCTTCTACATGCTCAACATGGGCAAGTATTCCTGAACACACATGTATCACACACACACACACACACACACACACACACACACACACACACACAC